TTTTGAAGAGACGGAAATCCAACTTCTTCGGCTTTAGGTCTTCTCATTTGTATTTATTTGGATATCATACAAATTTCATGCTCCTTGAGTCCACATGTAGTTCCATGTGCCTCACACAAACCTTGAAGTGACATACATGGGTCACAAGGTGGGTGTCATGTCCTATCCACAAGCTCCACAACATTCCATGTAGTGATAGTCACTAGATTACACTTTACTTTTTGAAACAATTTAAAAATGAATATAAGACATTTTAAACAAAAAACTTTTACATGGGTATTGGGATAACATATACTTTAAACTTTTGCATTAAACTTCTTTGAATCTGTGTAGGCAATTTGTGATAATTCAGAGTACATGCTTCACTTGTATATAATAATAATGCTTATAATAATAATGATAATATTTCTAATGGTATTAAATAATGTATGTCTGTAAGTATATAAGTATATATATATCCAATTTCAGATTTTTCTGGTTTAATTACTACATTGAATGCCTGTGAATTTGGAATAAAGTTTTTCATGAGATTGTAAAATGTGAGGAAAAAATGTTATTTGCATAATTTTCTAACTTTTCAAAGAAGAAATAATAACCATTTATCCTTCTTTAATTTTGTCTTTGACTTGTTAAGTTTTATTTTTTACCTATTATTGTTAGCCAATTTTTTTGACGTATAGTAATTGAACTTAGGTTATTGATAAATTTGCTACATATACAATTTATTAAAAAAACCATGCTAATTTTTAAAAGATAATTTTAATATTGTATATAAGTTTTTTAAAAATTCCTAAAACCTGAAATTTTCATTTCCTCAACCTTTAAAATCATAGATCTTTAATAAATAAATTGTAATAAATATTCACAATTACCAAAAAAAAATGACATAATTGATTGTCAACCTTCTTTGTGAATTATTTAAATAAACTAAAAAAAAAATCTCAAAGGTATAAGTGCAAGAGAAAAATAAGAAATAGAACCCACTAAAGTAACAATATTTGTTAATTTAAAATTAAGCCATGCAACAAATTGCTATGTTGTGGTTGTGACTTTTTGTAAGTTTCTTTTTTAGCTACTAAGTTGTAGCACATTAAGTAGTATATATCATGAATTTGAAGTCCTTTTGTTGTTTAGACAAGTAACAACAACTTATAACTCTATTCTGGTGCAATGGAGCGTGGAATAAAGTTTACAATTTTCTTTGTATTTTACATCTAAAACATAGCACCACATTTTTTTTTATAAATATATCTCTGAAAATGATTTTTTTTAATTCAATATGTATACTTAGTCCTTAATATTATTAATTGATCTCCTTGTGTTCATGGTTGATGCCCTTGTACCATACTTTGTTATTGCAATAAGCAATGCAAAGCAAACTAACTTCATCTTCTTCATCTTCTGATCTAATTTGAACACATGCAAATGATATTTCAATTTTGGACAATCCCATAGTAACAAAATGTAATATTAAGTATTAAATATTCTGCACATGTTTTTAATTTTGAGTCCCCATATATGCAAAGATTGACTTGGAAACTTGCTTCATTCCTTCTTAGAAAACCTTAAAGTTGGATATAATCTCTAATCAGATGTAGCCCTATGGAAAAATGTGATAAATTATCCAAATTAAATTTTCCTTATTTTTTTACATACACACATGAAATGCTAGTGAACCTTTCAGACTCAAACAGTAATGCGATGTTGTAAGTAATAAGTTAGAAATTCTGGCCTACAAGGGTTTGTTCCAGCATTGATGTAGGGTTTTCCAGTGCTGTATGCCAATTCAGCCTTTTCCATATGAAAATTGCAAGACTTGAACACCAGTTTGTTCAGCAATATGAATCACTGCATTATAGATGTGATGGATTGGCAATGATCAAAGAGTTGTTGAGCTTAAAACATGTTAAGAAGCAGGAGTATGTGTGTTCTGCAGATACCAAAATTTGTTTCATTCCTTGTGGAGTTGCTGACATGAAGCTGTTTGGATGGATTTAGGGTCACAGAGAGAATTATGGTTTATGGTATTGTGGGGTTTAGGGTTTTGCATGGGCACAATGTTTTCTCTACAGTGATGAGAAAACACTGCTCCAGCACCACACTGCTGCTACAGAATGGCATTCCTGGGCTTCAGACTGGGGCCATGTCCAGGCTCTATATATAACATAAAAAATATACCCCTTTTTCCTGAAGGGGGGTTTCAATCCTTGTCTGGGTGCTGCCAGAGGGGTGCCCCTTCTTTGTCCTTGGGTGCCACACACTGCCTCATTAAAAGCACACAATTTTCAAATATTCAAAAGTCCATATCTCAACAACTAAGGACACGGAGTTTCATGAGATAGCAAGCATTTTCCTGCATAAAGAGGAGGGAGTTGGATCCTGTCTGCCAATATGAAGAATGTATCCTACAAATACTTGCTTCAATATAAGAATTTATATATATATATATATATATATATATGTATGTATGAATGAATGAATGTGTGGCAGGGGATGAGGGGTGAGAGAAGAAGAAGAAGAAGAAGAAGTAAAGTTAAATGTGCCACACTGATGGTACAATGGGGCTAGATTCTCCTCAATTCAAAATGCTCCAAAACCATCACTCTTCAATTGGGCCCATCAAACTGTTGCAACTATTGAAGTGATAGTGTCCCCATGTTTGATTTGGATGGATGGATGGGTCAAATGATGTGTGGATGAAGGAAGGAGTTCATTTATAATATAATGTTATATATATATAGATATAGATATATTATCAGTGGAATACAAAGTAGAAATTGGAACCACTTGGGACAAGAAGCCACTTCATCTTTTATCATTGTTTACAATTATTTTGTTAGTTTTTAAATGCAAATGTGCACCAAAAGGTTGTGGTGATTAAAAAAGGATTTCATCAATTTATTATTTTTTTAAAAATATTTTCTTGGTGTACTTCAAACAACAAGTGCCAAAATTGGCATGTGTCCAAAACCATTGTGTACATTCTGCATGATGGATCATTCTTTATTCATTTCTTACTTTCTACTATTTTTCCAATTACATGCAAGACATATGGTTTCATTTAGTTTTATTTATTTATTTATCATGTAGTAGGTTTGAATAATATCACACTAGAGGGGGGGGTGAGAAGAATAGATGTTCATGATTTCCTGACCATAATTAATTTTAAAGATTTGCATTGTATTTAAATTTGTCTTTTTGAGCAAAACTTTTCAGCGTGCTTTAATTATACCAGCATGTGAAAGAAATGTGTTTCCAACTTTACAAAAATATATAATAACTATATAAAGGTTTGCACATCGCCCTTCTAAAGACGACAAAAATACTGAGAACATGCTGGGAAGAGCGCCGGGCAGGGGGAACAAAATACACAATAGACTGCCCCTGTTTGGCAAAAATAAATGATGCGCTCATATGCATGTGATGCTCCGTCCTGCATGGGGGCAGGGGCTGACGAAAAAAAACACAAAAAAAATCCCTGGCTAAAGCAGAATACAAAATTTCAATCTGCCCCAATCATGGTGTAGCCGTCTGTCCGACTGAGCCTTGGCTTCAAAGACAGAAACAAATAATTAATTTGCATAAATACAAAAACAGAAGATAAAGGTCCCTTATTCTTCCCAGTGCCAGTGTGATGAAGTTGCAGCGTGGGCATCTGGGTCAGGCACTGGGTGCTGTCAGTTGGGCAGGGAATCGAACAGCTGGGCAGAGAATTACGAGGCTTCCATTTTATTCGTTTTTTCACTGGTTTCACATCACACACTGAAAATTTTAACGCATTATTGTCGTGGGATCAGAATTCGGATTTTGCGTTAACCTCCACGACATTCTCCCTCTATTAGATCATTTTTATTTTACTTGTCTGCTCACAATTAATTTTGCTTCCTGTCGAATCACAAGTGCTTCCTGCTTTGGAAGCGTTTGGTTGAGTTTTTGGCATTTTCGCAGAGCTGCTTCCAGTCTGTCAATGATCCAAGCAAAAAGAAATGGAGTGGGCTCCTTTTTTTTCTTCTTCTTTTCATTGCTTTTCTTTCTATTCTAATCAATGGCAACATTGTCATGCAGAACACATGATCTAACATTCCAAGGGCTGGAGGAAGACACATACATGAGAGTTCCAGAACAGCAGAGTTGCTCGGAGTCGTAGTATGAGAAGAAGAAGAATAAAAACAAAGACCAGATGGGAAAAGGTTTCCCTTGGTTTACATGATTGGAAAATCACTCACAATCATGGCTTTTAATCTGCCACAACAACAACAAAAAGAACTTTGTCCTTCGAGAAGAAGGGGAGCTTGTCCCCTTCTATCACTCCTTTTACCCATGACCAGCAGCCCATGTGTCAAGGCCTGAGAACCTGAACCCAGAATACACATTTCTATCCTCCTTATTCCTCTTTTTTGTTGGTGTTTTTTTTCAGCCCATTATTCATTCATCCATGTGAACCAGTGGGTGGTTTAGCTCCTCACTGATAGCAGTTTCATGGCTACTCATGAGCCAACTGGGAGTCATAAGCTGCAGTGGAAAGCAGCGGAGTTCACAACCAACCACACTAAGGATGAATCTCTGGCCCTTACTTCTCTTTGAATTAAAGCATGATTTGCTCTCTTGAGTATCTATTGAACTGCCTCTGCACTGGTGTGAGTGTCTGTCCATCAGCATCGTTTGTATACCCACTTTCCTGCATTCAAAAGAAAGGGCATATTTTAACACAAGCAGCTGAAAAGAATCGTAGAATGGGTTGAGGGTTAAGAGTAGCAGCCAGGACAGGTGACCCATCTCAGATGTGTGAAATAGGCGGAGGCAGAATTTTGCTAGAGGTGGACACTCACAGAAAGGAGCCACTACTCCATATTCTTGTGATAGAGCCTTGGAATAGTAGTCAGCAAATTGACGCTATGCATGTGCACAAGCTCTCGAGTATCTGAATGGAGTATCCCAACCTCTCAATCTCAGAACTGGCAAAGATTTACAGCTCACAATGATCGCTGGCAAGAATAATGTGAAGAACATGAAGAGATCAAATTTATTATTATTATTATTATTATTTGTTTTTTGTTGTTGAAGTGTCTCCATTGAAGATCACAGAAATATCAATCACGTGAAATTCGATGTACAATTCAGTCAAAGTAGTATTGTAGAGACCTCTTGAATGAATGGCTTATGCAAGTCCGGCAACTGTAAGCAACTTCCTACCATGGCCACGTCAATTTTGCCACATATTGGTGGATACCGGCCCAGTCCTCTATTCTGTATCCTACAATAAAAATGAGAACCTGTTCTCCAAAATTTGTCTTCGGAGCTTAACAAGCAGGTGAACTGATGTGGTCACAATGGTTCGTCAGTGAAAGAAATCAATGCCTCTTACTACATTAAGCTGATCTACATAATAGCTACGATGGCCATTTGCTGCCGGCCTAAGGTCCAGTAGTGATGGAGAGGAGTTGGAGGACCTTATATTGCCAGACCCCAAATCATGATTCTCAACCACACTTCTGGTGAGATTAGATGGCTCTGACAATTGTAGCGTTGAGTACTGAGCTCGAGGATCCATACCGCGTTCAGGCTTCACGTAATCCGAACTACCTCTGCACATGTGCATTTAACAAAAGTAAGAGAAAGGATGTTCAAAGAGAAGCAACAGAATACAATACACGATCGTCAAAGAGAATGAAGAGGGAAGAGGAAAAATAAAACCGACTCACTTGGTTAGATCCGAGCCCGATTTCTGAATGCTGGCCTTGGCCTTCTGCAACCGAAGCAACACATCACTCACACTGGACTTGTTACTCACTCGATCCTGTTGTAATGTAGGTGATTGATCTCTCGGGGCATCGTAGGCAGGTCCGTATCCAAGAAATAACTTGGCCTGAGGTGGCACATGATACCCTGACCCATTGATCTACAAACGCACAGGTGATGTTAGAATCTCATTGTCAATATGGATAAGAAATAAAATTGTGAAAGTAGCAAACTGATGGTAAGGGCTTTGGTTGCATGAACACTTACACTGAATGGTCAAACATTTAAGCGAGACCAGTCGAAAAATGAGATCCGTGCACCTAAAAGAACTGGATATTCAAATCTGGATAGATCAGACTGTTTCTCCTGCTAAAAGCCCAGAATATCACAAGCAGCTGCCCAAGGGTAACAATTACCTCAAGGTACTTGTCTTCCCGGTGCCCAGGCATCCCATAGGAAGGCTCATGTCCGAGTCTGGAGTCGTCTTCGTACGATCGTCGGTAGTCACGGTCGTCGTGTTTGTAATTTTTCCCTTCACGACGGGAAGAGTTAGATGGGCGAATTTCCCCGCTCAAGTTTCTTTGTTGGTGAGGCACATCCATTACTCCATAGTCTTCTAAGGCTGGCCAGTTACCACTATCAGCAGAACGGGAACGTCGTTGGCCATGCCTATACCTCTTTTCTGACTGATGGTAACTTCGGTAAGGATGTTCCCCTTCCCTTTGTCTGCATTTCAGTAAGACGATAGATAAGTCACATTTATTCATCATTTTTAAAGAAAAAGTTAGTCTCCAGGTGTTGTAGCTACACACGAAACCGAGTTTGAAACAGCGACCTAATTGACCGAGTCTCCCACCTGTGATCGCCATCCACACTATTCGACATCGAAGGCGCACCTCCATAGTCGCTTTGAGGATTTCTGTAAACATCCGCTACCCAGTTAACATTTGAAAGACCATAATGTCTACTTTGAGGTGTTATTTCCCACTGCGTCGGAGGAAACCCGATCTGACGTTTGACGCCTTGGATATATGACGACTGGAAGTATATATCGCGGTACTTTTGCTGCAGATTTTCTTAAACAATTCGCAGATTTCTAACTCATCGCTTCTGATGAAACATTTGATGTAGCCTATGAACTTTTCGCAAACATATTCTCGAGGTAGGGCCTTGAAACTTCGCAATGAACTACTACGATGGAGCAATGTCGAGATTATTGGTCAAATGATTCTACAGAAGCCAATGCAAGTGCAAAAGCTTTTGAGGACTTACGTGTTAGTTGCAGGGAAACAAACAGTCACTAGAAATGTGAGAAAAGTTATGCATCAGGATGGTACCTGGGCAACGGAGCTGAGAGCTCTGCTTGCAATTGAGGATGCTCCATCCCCGCAGGATAAGCCAACCTCTGTCGGTGGTCGATGCTGTCATCGTTGTACTTACGATCCATGGCGGTGTTTCTATCGTGTCGATTTACAGCCCATGACTCGGAATCTGGATGAACTTCCATTCGAGAATCGCTCTTAAGCATGTGATCATGGCTGAAGTTGATGGAGCTCTTGCTTCGGTGACTTACATCGCGCGAGGTACCAAAATCATGAACTGCATCCTTGGGACCACTCTTATATTCTGAACGTGGGTAGTCATGCTGGTCTGATTGCCCCAGTCTTCGTTTTGACTCGTAGTAGTTCCTCTCCCATTCCCTTTGTACTCTCTGGTGAGCTTCGTATTCCTCTAGCATAGCTTCCCCCCTCTTTGCAACTGTCTGAACATGCGACCTGTCTTGTATACCTTCAGGTGGTGAAAGCCCAAAATGGGAATCTGCAACAGGGCTAACAAACTCAGAAGCAACGAGAATAAACGACCATGTTTTACTGGTGGCTAAGACGGGTAATGCTTAGAGTAAAACAGCTATAAATACTACAGCTTTCTTATTTTATACCTTGAGAACAGATTGCTTTTCTCTGCAGTCCACCATTTCCTTGCATTTCCTGCATTAGTTTTTGAGGAGTTCTTTCCTGGAGAACTGCAGGCGCTTGATCCATCCAACTCATCAGCTGCTCCTGGACTAGCTCTTCTTGAGTTCCATCCTTTGCAAGAGCAGACATATCTGCACTGATTTGGCTCCACATTTGTCGTAACCGATTTCCAATGGCAGCTCTGGGTAATAAAACATTTAGTTTAATGCTTGCCACGCAATCTTGACCCACCAGTAGGGCATCATGATCGTATCCTCAATTCATTAAGAAAAGAAAAAGTAAAAGAAAAAAAATGTTGTGCATGTCAGGAGCACAGTAGTTCTTAGCTTACCTGTTATCCTGCTTTTTTGGGGATTCTCCCTCCATTACGAACACGTTCTGAGGAGTTACCCAGGGATCCCCGTGTCCATCAACATCGTACTGATGTTCACTTCCGACTTGTGATGATTTCTTTCTCGAGTCTTCAGAATCTTTGCTTTCCGAAGAACTTCCGATGGAGTCAGTCCTGAAGAAAGCTCCAACACTGTTCCCAGCACGCCGCACCTCCTCTTTTATTTCCTCGCCACCAGATGCAGGGCCTGAAGTAATATGCAACCCTTCAGATGTATTAAAGGAAGCTCTGCTTAGTACCACTCGAGCTGTGCAATCGGCGACCTGTGCAAAATCACCTGCATACACGATAAGATAGTTACCTTAATAAACGACCTTTCTTGAATAACCAACCTTCTTTTGCAACAGAATGAGTTTTTCCAGAAAATCTGTTTGGCGAATTAGCATATCCTTAGAAACCTTTACCATTCAGCAATTTTAGAAGTGCATCTTCCGCGCACTTCTCAGCCTTTTTCTTATCTTCCATGACTTGTTCCAACTTCTCCTCCAGCTCCATCACCTGTACAAACTTGTCAAGGTTAGCTAACTATTCATTGCAAGGAAACAAATCACAATAAATTCTGCTACTCGTGCAAATATACAAATATGCAAATGATAGATCATACCACCAAAATACCAAATTCTTATGAAGCTTCTTCATCCACAAACATATTGATCTGACTCTTACACTCACCTTCGTTCCAAGATCTTGAATTTGTTGCTTTGCTGCCTTCGAAGCGGAGCGTTCCGATATTAACCGAGCCCTTAAGAAATCGATTCTCATAGGCATGATGTCGTCCCCCGACGGTGACGTCCTGCACATTGCATGATGTTCAAAAATTTGCAGCACAACATAAACCCACAACTAAAACACTACGTCAATCATTTGATGTTAACTATGTCTGGATGCAAAACTATGCCACAAGCAGCGAGAAATGTGTTAATATGATCAAATATCCAAGGTTAGTAAGAGCAGAAAGCAAATGTTCAGCTCTTTACATGTCTTGACCACTCGGTGACTCCATTCCGACAATCTCAGCATCTGCATCTGCTGTTGACTGAACAGCTTTAGTCTGGACGTAAACATCCTGATCCACCTTTTTCTCAGCTTCGCTTTCTTTGACAGGAAAACTGTTCCCGGAGTGCTCTTCGGATGGCACTGCGGCATTTGTTGCAACTAGTCCTAGTCTGGAACGTTCCACAGTAACTGCAGCCTTCTGTTGCTCTTCTTGTTCAGAGGGGTTGGACTTCCACCTGAGGGGCGTAAGAGGAATCAAAGGGGTAACATTTCTAGGCGTCATGGAAGGACTCCCAAGCGCGCTCTCTTTCTCCGCCTCAGTGGAGACCTTCGACCTCCTGAACACCAGAACAAGCATGTTCTCATCGACACTCATTCAATGTCTCTAATCTCCTTCAAATGATCACAGCCGCTTATGATTAATTAGATGCAAACTGGGGCCCACTTCCTCTCTTGTCATAACCGTGACGTCATACGCCAGAGAATAAAATGCTGATTAAATCTATAAGCTTTTCTGATCACATGTTTACTAAAAAAAACAGAAACAAATATAAAAACTCTCTTGTTTCAAATTCACAGGAACAGACAATCCGCCCTATAGTGTGGCATTTTCGCGAGGGTGAAACAAAGAGTCCCAAATAGATGCCCCACCTCATCGAGAGGTGCTTCCCCAAGGTGGTGTTGAAGCCTCCCCAAGTGTCTTGATCCTCTCCATTATGACCATTTCCTTCGGGTAAACCTTTCGATGCCGCACCCGCAGCCAAGGCAGCGCTTGAGCCATGGATACCTCCAAAGCTGACACTCCGTGAGAACCAGCTCTTCACTGACGAAAGCTTCCTATCCTCGGGAGGAGGCTCTACTCTACTCATCAATACGGCTCTACAAAATCTCTGGATGCTCCTCGTGTCAACTAAAGCGAATCTCACAAAAAAATCGTGCACACATCACCCCAAATCTTCCTGCTCGGTTTCGAAAGATGCTAACTCTCAACAACATGGATAGGTTAAGTCCACTTGTTGAAGTGCCCAGTGATCCTCTTCCACTTCTCAGAAACCTTTATTCTATACCTGGAATCCTACTGCTTCAGTGAAATCCAATCTCCCACAATTTACGATCGAATGGAAATGCGACACAATGATCCGCCAGCAAATTTCTTTCTGCGCATGGGAAGAGGCATCAACAAACCTGATCAACCCTACGTTAGTGACCTGCCTTCGAATATGTGATGATAAAATTCGAATAGACATTTCACTGAACCCATCCCCTCACACGACAGCGTTGCTTCATGTCCAAGTATACACCTAGGTCACAATACTTAACACGACCCTTCTGACCAAACGCATGTGCGTGAAACCACTGAAGGATCCCAATCTAAAGAGCGAGCAGCCCCTAGTCAGTGCAGTGCGGAGAGAAGGGGACTTTTCCAAATAAAACAAACTGAAATAAAATAAATAAAAACAAGAACACCTCAGGATCACCCAACATTGACTCCAGAGATCACAATCGTAGAACTACAGAGCCTTTTCCTTGACAGAGATCTCGGAGCCCGTACCATCACCCACCCAACACGGAGCCCTATTTCAACGGACCTCCAACACCAGCCCCATGCTACCTCCAAACCTGCCGCTGGACAAGCACCGTGCGCTCCAAGGTACCAACCCACGAAGACGAACCCAAATCATATCCCAACGCAGAGACAACCCACCTCGTAGAATCAAAACGCTGGCCGATCCAACATCCAAACCTTCCTTCCGCAACACACCCGCAATGCTTTCCGCTGGTGCACACACAGGCGCGGAATCTGGCAACAACACATCCAGTGCTCTCCAACGCCAGGATCACAGCTTTGTGGTAAAACGGTCACTGCAACGTAGTTCCCCCAGAAGAAACAAGATCTAGAGAAACCTCGGGAGGAGGAGTGTGTGTGTGTGTCCAAGTGTGTGAGAGTAAGAAAGTGTGCTGTCTTTGTTTTGTTTTGTTTTTTGTTTATTTTCCATGCACTTGTGATCCGAATTCCGCAACTTGGGGCGTCCTAGCCCTGCTCCTATGGCTGATCCTCTTCCTCAGCCTGGATCGCTGCTGGATTTACTATATCCCTGCCCCCATTTCGCCCCCCACAGCCCCCATTCCTGAGCCCCTTGCTGTGCTGCTCTGTGTCCCTGCCCTCTGTCTGTCCGTGTCTCGGGCACTCCGCAGCTGCAGCTGAATTTAGTTGGGCTACTCTTCTTAAGAAGCTTCGGTGCTGCATCGTACTAATTTTAACTCATTCAAACATCCGTGTTCACACGAGGGAATCGTCCGCCGCATATGCTGCTGGTTTTGCCTTCTCTTAATGAGCCACCTTGGCAGTGCCTGGTTGTGGCGAATCTGCCTCGGTGTGGCTGCTTTCCAGGGTGTTTGCACACCCAGTGTGACTGTCACCTCCACCTTCCACTCTCACCTCACTCGACATGGCCTTTGTTTGTTTGTTTTTTGGTTTTCTATTAAAGTTTACTTTAAGGGGATTTTATACCTAGAAGTATACCCAGAAGCATACTTTGGAAGGACACAGTCTAAAAGTCTTCTGAAGGTCTTCTACTTAGTGATGAAAAGTTATCTTTTTGACTCATTGATAGTTGGATTTTTTTTTTGTTTTTTTTTTTGTTTTTTTTTGTTTTTTTAGTGTATATATATATATATATATATATATATATATATTACAATATCTTATAGACTCCCTTGATTCCTCTTAAAAACATTTGTTTACTAGTGGTCGATTTTTTTGACGTAGCAACGGCAAATTAAATTTTTACACCTCTTCAGTAGCCAACAGCACAGGTTTCCACTAGTATACAATAAGAAAGCTTAGTTACAAGACAAACATATAAAGAAAGCTAAAATCAAAGAAATCATTAACTAGCAAAAAGACCTCAGTAAAGACCTCCAATTTACTATCTGTAAACAACTTTTCCATGCCCAGCGGCATAGGTTTTAGCTAGTTCTATGTACATCAGCTTATAACTTGATTTTGACAATCTTAACAAGCATTAAAAGTTGATTTCTTAATATATTTAAGATAATTTTTACTATCAATTTGTTATTATTTTTTATTTTTTGTCTTTTTATAAAAATTATATCTTAAAATGAATCCACTTCAAATTCTTATTGAAAAAAATGTTTATTTTATATAAAAAATGCATTTTGTCTTTTATATTTACAAATTCTTATCAGATTTTTTAAAGTATAAAGCTAAAGAAGGCATGCTTTTTAATTTCAATTAATGACAAGTTTTTAAAGTTGCAACAACTTGCTATCTTTTCTTATATTTAAAGACATTCTTAATATTTTTAATTTTTTTTAAATCTAGTCTAATTTATGTTTAAAAATTTGTGGTTTTTTTATTAGGTTTTATTTACAAATATATAGATTCAAAAATTATTATTAAATTTAAAATAAATTAACTATTTTTAAAAACAAAGAGATTAAAAAGTCCTAAAGTAAGACTAAAATAAAAGATTTTGATAAGACTAAAAATGGCTTTAATCTTAGTTCATATATAGTAGCTAATAAAAAAATTAGCTCACTAAAATCTAACTTGTTTTTTTTAGAAATCTATCATATTAAAATCTTTACTTCTTTCTATAGAAATAAAATAAGAAGAAACTTATAAAAGAAATAAATCAAAATATTGGTCTAGAAGAGAATAATCCACAATCTCTAAAATATTATAGTACTTTTAAAAGAGAGATGTTTTGCTCTTTATCGAAAAAGACCAAGGTTCAATATTGTATTATATCACTTTTAACAAATTGTTACAAACATACCACTTGCTTAGGATAAGACTATAAGAGTTTAAGGAAAATAAAACAAAAGAAGTTGACATTATATTACAAAGAAGAAGCTACAACAAGGTATAAGAATAAGACCAAAAAGCTAAATTTGAGCCATAAAAATTGTGTTGTTAATAGTGTTAATATGCAATTAGATTTGAAGTTAGGTTTTAAAGTATTTGCCAATGTACATATTCACAAGCCAAAAGAGTACTATATGGAGTTGTTTTGGCTATGAAAAGTCAAAAAAGATTATTTGATTGGTAAAATGATAGTAATTGAAATAGATTACTTACTATTACTTGGAATAATTACTAATTATTCAATACTAGATATTACAATACTAAGATAGATTGAATATATTAAATCATTGAATCTAAGTTTAGGGATGTTGTAAAAAATATAATTTAGTGCAAAACATATAAACTTGAATATGATATGATAAAAAAGACAAGATGGTTGAAGACATTAATAATATTGGAACTAAATTCTATTTAATTTCAAATTTTAACAAAAAAGATAAGTTTTTTTCAAAAGAGCTTTATGATAGAGAATTATAGGATATTATTCACTACTTGAATACCTTGAATCAATAAGCAAATTGGCCCATAGAAAAACTTAGGCAAATTAGAAAAAAGACATATAGATTTTTGCCTGAAGAAAGGTTCTTATAAAGAAGACCAAAGAAAGGAATTAGAATGCCATAATAAATAATAGCAATAATGAAGAGCAAAAAAAATCACTAAAAGAATTTCATGATAGTTTATGGACTTGACATATGGAGATTTATAGTATCTTTGTTAAATTTAAAGAATAATATTTGTAGAAAAATATATATTGACATATACTTTTATTTTTAGAATTGTACACAATTTTTCAAATATATTCTAATATTAAAAACATTAAGATGGTTTACATCCAATATATCCTTTGGCTCTTCATTTTAAATGGATTATTGATTTGGTTATTATTTCAATTGAATTATGCCAAATAGTGTAATTAATTTTTTTTGTAAAAATTTATCATATTAGGTAGAAGGTAAAATTTATCATAAAATCTACAAAAAGAATTTATAGTTTTTTGCTTGAAGATATTATTTACTATTATGGATGTATGGAAAAGGTCATTACAAATTGTAGAGACTTAATTTGATAAACCTTGATTGGTAATGAAGGCGATTAAAAATATAATTGGATTTTGGTCTGTAATAATAGCTTAAATAATTAACATAGTACTTTAAGGATTTTTTAAATATTAATTTGGACCATAAATGGTAACAAATATTTATAATAATACAATCCATTTACTTTGAGAAATAGATGGAGAAACAATAAAAATACCAATTATTGAGAAGTATATAAAAATATTAAAACAAAGATATTTAGAAATTAATATAGAAAATCTTGTTGAAGATTTAAACCTTTGAAGAGAAGAAAATATTTTTGACTTAAATAATAAAAATGATGAAAAAGATTTAGATGAAGATATAAAAATTATAATGTGAATCCAACAATAAGATTGAATTATTTGCTGCATATTCGAGTATGCTCAAAGTTAGAGGATATAGATGTCCTATTATAATATAATTATATGGTAAAAGAAAAAAAATATGGATTTTATTATAGAAAATCCTAATTAAAAAATATAATAAAAAATATAAACAAACAATAAGAAAGTAATAAAAATTTTCAATATCAATGATGCCTAATATAAAAAGTCGTTTACTTATTTTATATAGTTTTAAATAAGAAAAAATAAAGTAGATTAGAAAAAAAATAATATAGACATATTTAAAAAAATTAAGAATAATTTGAAGAAAAGATTCTTTTAAAAAAATATGATTTTTTATAAATATTTTAAAAATATTTTAAAGATTTCTTTGGAATTAATTAAGATTTTATAAAATAATAAGATTTAGTTGGAATTTATTTAGGAATCTATTAGAGTTGTTAGGACCTTGTTGATACAATTTCTAATTTATCTTCTATAGTCAATTATTTGATAAAATCTCAAACTATAAAATATATTATTTGATAATATCAATAAAAAATATAGTGTATATAATGTGAAGAATTAAAAATTATTAGTTAAATTATTTTTCAAGAGAGCCAAAAAATAAAATAAAAATTTCAATTTTAGAAATTTAGTATATTATAAAAATAAATTCTACAAAATCAAGAACCATAGAACTTGATTTTTATAAAACATTATTTTACAAGGATATTATAATTTATTTTATTTCTATGGTTGATTTTTCAATAAATAATTTTTTAGGATATAAATAATATATAATTTTTATATATCTTGTTAGATTATGGTACATCTATTTGTAAGCATGATAAAAAAATTGAAGTATTAAAAATAATTCTAAGTAAAAAAATTCAAATATATATAAATAAAAATTATAAATATATGATTTTTATTTTATATGTATTTAATTTTAAAATCTTCAAAAATAAAATTAATTATAATTTTTTTTAATCATCTATTATCATTTTTTATTTTAAAATATTTAATTAATTTTTTACTTTAAATTATTTTTGTATTAAAATATGTAATTTTAAAATATTTTGAATATATTCTTCAATTTTTTCTTAACTTATCAAAAAAAATATCAAATTAAAAATATATCTTTGATCTAAAAAATTAAACTTCTATTTGTTAGAATTAGGATATTTGTACAAATCACATAAGAAAAAGATTAATTTCTTCTATATATATATATATATATATATATATATATATATATATATGTCATAGACATATTTATTTAATCTAATAATTACTTAGATAGAAGTAGATAAAAGTAGATTAATTTCATAATATCTTCTAGAAAATTTTTTTAGAAGCTTTATAAACACGATTTTTAATTTATATATGTTTGTAATTGATTTGTAAGTTAGAAACTTGATCAACAAGTTAACCACGTATCACACATGTTAATGGCTTGTGGAACAAGCTGACTATGTGGCATATATATATAAAACTTGTCTTATAAGTTAAGGCATGTGTCTTATAAAGTTAACATGTGTTGGAGGTCCTATAAAACATTGCCATGCAACTCCTAGTTAGATAGTATATATAGAGGTAAGAATGAAACCTTCTTTATTCTTGTCAATACCATTGTAATCTTTAGTCTTCTTTCAAGACTTTTTAGTGTTATTTTCTTTGGCAATAGTCATTCTAGTTCAAAATACAACCATCTTTGAGTATCTTTCTAATCTTTTGAATTAATACAAGAGTATATTAAATTTTCTTTCTTTGAAATTCATATCTTTGATAATTTGA